AACCCTGGGCTTTGTGTGGCTGATAGGGATGGAGAGGTGGGAGTGTGTCTTCTAAACCCCCCACTCCTCCCTCCCCCTCATCCTCCCCCCTCTTTTTGCTATTAAAGTACTTAAAAGCGACGCTGAACTTGGGCTCGTGGGATGATTCAGGTTGGAAGGGAGCTCTGGAGGTCCCTAGTCCAGCCTCCTGCTCAAAGCAGGGGCTCTTACCTGGGGAGTGGGTGGCAGCGAAGGGACATCGGGAGATGGGTGGCACCGAAGGGACATCGGGAGATGGGTGGCACCTCTGGGTGCTCTTCAACGCTCCTGGGAGCTCGAAGGAGAGGCAGCACCATCAGGACGAGCCCTCAGGGGCAGCAGCCCTTCTCTCTTCCACTCTGCCTGGAAATATTTGCCCCAATCCCCAGCTCTCCCCCGCCTGCAATCCCTGCTCTTGCTGCTTTTGTTATCCGGGGGGGGGCTTAAAATTCATGAGTGTTGGGCTCCATCCCTGTGTGTGTGTCGTGGTGCATCTGCTCCTGCTGAGCCCTCCTCGATCCTTATTCCGACATTACCTCCAGGAGTTTTTCTTCAGGAGACTTGTAAATAAATGTGAAAACCTGACTCTTTGCTGGAGACCCGTGACCGGCTGTAAGGTGTGTGCTTCGTGCAGTGATTAAGTGTGATATACGTATATAATATACGTTAGAACAGCTGTAAAAGCTGTTCAGTTAGCCCAGCTTTTCAAAGTGAAAGCTGGGTTGAAATGGCTGTGTCGGGCAGAGAGGGAAGAGTGTTTGTTCTCTTTGCAGGGTGACTCATGGGTGCCTTTCACTGAACCACCTCCCCCTTCTCCATACCTGGAGCTTCCTGGTGTTGCACACATTATTACCTGGCAAAGGCAGGGAGCATCTTCCCCCTTCTCCTCCTGTTCTTCCATCTCTTGCTGTGGGCGTGTTAATCTCCCTCGCAGCTTTTTAGGATAAAGCTGGAAAAACTCCTCCTTGCGGAGCAGTTTGTGTGTGTGTTCCCTGGATGCTGAGAAATTGCTTTTCCCTGGTCGTTTTGGAGTTGGAGAAGTAAAGCTCACCTCTGCCCAGAGAACAGAAGGTACGGGGGTAATCAGAATAAATCTATTAAACTCTGGATTGCCCTTGTGCCACGGGATAGAATTTGTTCTTGGCTGTTGTGTGTAACAAAGCTGGAGTTTAGGGCTGGAGGCTGATAAGCTGGGTGGGTATTGAGAGCCTGGCTGAGGCCGGTGGGGAGGGACCAGCTTCTTTAAATGGGATGATCTAACTACCGTTCTTTGAGTTGGCAACAAAAGCCAAAAATAAAGTTGAAGAGGAAAACGCTCTCGTGGCATGACAGCGGGAATGCTTTGACTGGTTTTAGGGAATATTGCATGCTCTGGATGTTGCTCAAAAGAGGAAAAAAAAAAAAAGAGTAGGGAAATGTAAGGCTTTTGGTTCATTATTTTCTGTGCATCTTGGGGATTTTGGAAGAAATGTGTGACGAGTCCAGTGTAACTTCCACAAGTGAAAATATATTGCTTGTTTATGGTGTTTCTGCCTTGCACGCAGTGGGTAAAAAGTTGATGCTACCTCTTTTTGTGCAGCGTGGCTTCTTTCTTTCTTTCTTTCTCTCTCCCTTTTGTGCACCTGTCTCGCTTCCTTAATGTGGGAAGTTTTGTAATTCCAAAAGCTCGTCGTTTTGCTCTAGTTCCTTTATATTCTTAAGAGTGTACGGAACCACCTAGAGCTGAAATAGACTTTTCTCAGTAGCAAAATAAAGAAATGATCCAGGGCTCCACCCTTAAATTGACCTGGGTTTACAGTTCATCCTCTCAAGGGCAGATAACAGAAGGAAATAGACGTTGTAAGTGACCTGAAAAACAACCACTGTTTGTGAGGAGGTACAAGAAACGGACTGAAACCAGATGACTAAAACCAAAAGTCATATTTCCTTAAAGCCTAGTCGTTTGTTAGCCCTCAGACAGGTACAAGAATATCTCTTGTTGGCTTTTTACCTCTATGGGAAGGCCAAAGAATATTGTGTGCCAGAGCTGTATTGTGTGAAAGAGCCCTTTTCTCTGCCTGGCAAGGAGCTCAACTCATTTTCTCATCCTGATGTCTTGGCCTGTACGGAGTGGGTGGCAGCGAAGGGACATCGGGAGATGGGTGGCACCTCTGGGTGCTCTTCAACGCTCCTGGGAGCTCGAAGAAGAGGTAGCACCATCAGGACGAGCCCTCGGGGGCAGCAGCCCTTCTCTCTTCCACTCTGCCTGGAAATATTTGCCCCAATCCCCAGCTCTCCCCCGCCTGCAATCCCTGCTCTTGCTGCTTTTGTTATCCGGGGGGGGGCTTAAAATTCATGAGTGTTGTGCTCCATCCGTGTGTGTGTGTCGTGGTGCATCTGCTCCTGCTGAGCCCTCCTCGATCCTTATTCCGACATTACCTCCAGGAGTTTTTCTTCAGGAGACTTGTAAATAAATGTGAAAACCTGACTCTTTGCTGGAGACCCGTGACCGGCTGTAAGGTGTGTGCTTCGTGCAGTGATTAAGTGTGATATACGTATATAATATACGTTAGAACAGCTGTAAAAGCTGTTCAGTTAGCCCAGCTTTTCAAAGTGAAAGCTGGGTTGAAATGGCTGTGTCGGGCAGAGAGGGAAGAGTGTTTGTTCTCTTTGCAGGGTGACTCATGGGTGCCTTTCACTGAACCACCTCCCCCTTCTCCATACCTGGAGCTTCCTGGTGTTGCACACATTATTACCTGGCAAAGGCAGGGAGCATCTTCCCCCTTCTCCTCCTGTTCTTCCATCTCTTGCTGTGGGCGTGTTAATCTCCCTCGCAGCTTTTTAGGATAAAGCTGGAAAAACTCCTCCTTGCGGAGCAGTTTGTGTGTGTGTTCCCTGGATGCTGAGAAATTGCTTTTCCCTGGTCGTTTTGGAGTTGGAGAAGTAAAGCTCACCTCTGCCCAGAGAACAGAAGGTACGGGGGTAATCAGAATAAATCTATTAAACTCTGGATTGCCCTTGTGCCACGGGATAGAATTTGTTCTTGGCTGTTGTGTGTAACAAAGCTGGAGTTTAGGGCTGGAGGCTGATAAGCTGGGTGGGTATTGAGAGCCTGGCTGAGGCCGGTGGGGAGGGACCAGCTTCTTTAAATGGGATGATCTAACTACCGTTCTTTGAGTTGGCAACAAAAGCCAAAAATAAAGTTGAAGAGGAAAACGCTCTCGTGGCATGACAGCGGGAATGCTTTGACTGGTTTTAGGGAATATTGCATGCTCTGGATGTTGCTCAAAAGAGGAAAAAAAAAAAAAGAGTAGGGAAATGTAAGGCTTTTGGTTCATTATTTTCTGTGCATCTTGGGGATTTTGGAAGAAATGTGTGACGAGTCCAGTGTAACTTCCACAAGTGAAAATATATTGCTTGTTTATGGTGTTTCTGCCTTGCACGCAGTGGGTAAAAAGTTGATGCTACCTCTTTTTGCCCAAGAGGTCAAAGAACTGCTTGATTACTGCTGATTCTTACGTATCCTTTTCCAGGTCTGTGCAGAGCTTTTCTCAGCTCTGATGACAAGTGCATGAATTTCACCTGGTTTGCTAACTAGTGTTTTGGTTTGTTGTTTTGGTTTTTTTTTTTTTTTAAATATGAGTTAGTTGCAGCGTGGCTTCTTTCTTTCTTTCTTTCTCTCTCCCTTTTGTGCACCTGTCTCGCTTCCTTAATGTGGGAAGTTTTGTAATTCCAAAAGCTCGTCGTTTTGCTCTAGTTCCTTTATATTCTTAAGAGTGTACGGAACCACCTAGAGCTGAAATAGACTTTTCTCAGTAGCAAAATAAAGAAATGATCCAGGGCTCCACCCTTAAATTGACCTGGGTTTACAGTTCATCCTCTCAAGGGCAGATAACAGAAGGAAATAGACGTTGTAAGTGACCTGAAAAACAACCACTGTTTGTGAGGAGGTACAAGAAACGGACTGAAACCAGATGACTAAAACCAAAAGTCATATTTCCTTAAAGCCTAGTCGTTTGTTAGCCCTCAGACAGGTACAAGAATATCTCTTGTTGGCTTTTTACCTCTATGGGAAGGCCAAAGAATATTGTGTGCCAGAGCTGTATTGTGTGAAAGAGCCCTTTTCTCTGCCTGGCAAGGAGCTCAACTCATTTTCTCATCCTGATGTCTTGGCCTGTACGGGAATTGGGGAGGCACATTACTCTCTACAACTCCTTGAAAGAACATTTTAGAGAGGATGGTCCTGGTCTCTTCTCACAGGTAATTAGTTGGGAATTGGGGAGGCACGTTACTCTCTACAACTCCTTGAAAGGACATTTTAGAGAGGATGGTCTTGGTCTCTTCTCACAGGTAATTAGTGATAGAATCATAGAATGGTTTGGGTTGGAAGGGACCTCAAAGATCATCTAGTTCAAACCCCCCTGCCATGGGCAGGGACACCTCCCACCAGAGCAGGTTGCTCAAGGCCACATCCAGCCTGGCCTTGAACACCTCCAGGGATGGGGCATCCACAACTTCCCTGGGCAACCCGGGCCAGAATGAGAGGGAATGGCTTCAAGCCGCAACAGGGTAGGTTTAGACTGGACATCAGGAAGAAATTCTTCACAGAAAGAGTGGTCAGACACTGGAATAGGCTGCCCAGGGAGGTGGTTGAGTCACCATCCTTGGATGAGTTTGAGAGTCATTTAGATGTGGTGTTGGGGAGAACTTTGTAGAGTAGGACTGATGGTTGGACTCGATGATCCCAAGGGTCTTTTCCAACCTGAATGATTCTATGATTCTATGTTCTCCTTGATACCGAGGGCACACTCTTGTGGGGAAAATAATTTGTCTGGTGTGTGACTCTTCTTATGTGCTTGCTCAGCTCTCACCTGGGGGAAAACTGTGTTTTGCCCCTTTTCCTGGAGATGGGAAATGGCTGGATCCGTTCCCTTTGGTGGCTGCGGAACTGGGACCGTCAGCAGATGCTCACTCATGCGCCACATAAGTCGCTGTGATGGGTTCTTCCCTTCTGAGCAGAAGGCATGTGACGCTCCGTAGGGATGAACAGCTTGAAGATGTCTGACGGGGCTTATGCCAACCAGGTTTTTACTCAAACTGAAGTCCAAGCCTGAAATTTCTGAACAGGGGCACAGACCATGTAGAAGAGGACGTTATGGCTGTGAGGGGTAACACTCGGTGCTACCACTGGTGGTGGCCACGCCTGGCTTTGTGCAGGGGAGGAAGCTCACCTCTCTCCTCCTCCTCCTCCTCAGGCACATCCTCGGAGCTACAGGAGAGTCTTTGGGTCCTCCTACGCACGTGGCAGCGGGGTCTGTGTCACAGTTTCAGGGCCCTTCATGGGTTCTGCTTGATGAAAACATAGATGCTCAGAGCCAAAAACAGATGCTCTGAGCCCAAAACACAGATGCTCGGAGCTGAACGAGTCTCCCCAGGCTCCCAGTACGATCAGTAGAAGGGAAAAAGCCCTTTTATGATGTGGCACATGCCGTCCTAAGGTCGGTGTTTTAAAATAGGTCAGAGAGTTGCACTCTAAAAACACTGATTCCTCTTTGTAATCACCCTGGTCTCCTCTGTCCCCTGCTGTTGTACGTGGCAGCAGATGGCTGAGAGGAGTGTCACCTATTCCTCTGGATGTGGGGCTGCAGGCAGGCAGCATCCCTAAAAAAATCCACTGGCAAAAGCACCCTGGTGGCCCCCGCTTTCACGAGTTCCCTTCGTTTTAGCACTTGTTTGATGGGGGAAGGGGAAACAAAACAGCCGTCTGATTCAGTGCCTTTCCAGGGGAATTTGAAGAAAAAGTGGAAATATTCAGTTCTGCTTTATGTACTTCTGGTAAAATTGTCTAGGTTTCTGGAATAGCTGTTCCAACTGGGAAACTGAGCGTCCCAGCCGTGTGGCTAACGATGGCCTTTCTCTGTCTCTTGTGTCTAGTCTGAGATGCGGGTTAAACAGTAACTTTCCTTCCATGATTTCTTTCCTTCTTGCACTCTGACCTTCTATAGAACTAGTTTATTTCACTCTTAAGCTGATATAACTACCTTAAAGACATTCTGTTTCCTGCTTCCTCTCTGGGATCAGTGAAGTGGTGGCGACTCAGGCATCTTTTTATCATCTTAGATTTAAAAAAAAAGGAGGAAAAAAAATAATAATAAAATTAATGGGTTAGAACAAAGATCCTAATTTGGGAAAATCAGGCCAAATCAGAAGACTGCAGAAGTAGTAACCAAATGTACTTCCTGAAAAGAAATCATTTCGCCTACCGTAGCCCTTTGTGATCCCAATTACGACGTGAGAGGCAATGCCTGTAGTATATTTGACTACCTTGAAGTAGATGACACGTAGCTGCAAACCTCTCCCTGCTCTAGGTGGGCCTGGAGCTGTGGGACCACAAGAAAGTCAAGTGGCAAGTACGTGCCCCACACAAGTGGGGTACAAAGCCTTGTTTCATGCCTTTTGTTCTCTTCTTCTTCCATAAAAGTCAGTCCATGCCTGTAATCTGAATGTGGGAGGAAAAGAATTACTATTCATATGATTCACAGATAATATTCTGTGATACCGTGTGTGGTTTTGGGGCAGGGGGAGTCATCCAAGTTTACCTGAAGGCATTGTCTCCTGTTCTCAGGAGCTTGATGTGTGTAGTTACGGCTTGTCCATCCATGGTGTGCAGCTGGTGGCATTTGGTGGCTTCAGAGATGGCAGCAGAGAGAAGGAAAATCAAATACAAAAGGTTTCACTGAATTTCACTGAATTTTAGAGTTGGAAGGGACCATAGAGATCATCTAGTCCAACTCCCCTGCTGAAGCAGGATTGCCTAGAGCTTGTCAGAGCATGTTACTCAGGGCTGCATCCAGGTGGGTCTTGAAAATCTCCAAGGAAGGGGACTCCACACCCTCCCTGGGCAGCCTGTTCCAGGGCTCTGTCACCCTCACCGTGAAGAAGTTTCTCCTCATATTTGAGTGGAACCTCTTATGTTCCAACTTGTGCCCATTGCCCCTCGTCCTCTCAGTGGGAACCACTGAGAAGAGTCTGGTTCCCTCCTCCTTCAACCCTCCCTTGAGATACTTGTAGGCATTGATAAGGTCTCCCCTCAGCCTTCTCTTCTCCAGACTAAAGAGTCCCAGCTCTCTCAGTCTCTCCTCATAAGGGAGATGCTCCAATCCTTGAATCATCTTTGTTGCCCTTCGCTGGACTCTTTCTAGTAGTTCCCTGTCCCTCTTGAACCGGGGAGCCCAGAACTGGACGCAGTACTCCAGTTAGGACAGGGTTTGCCACACTGACTTTCCAAGGTGTCACGCACCACTTTGGGACCCGGAGTCCCATCAGTAGAGCTTTGAACTATCCATTCTCTTAACGACTGTAAGTGGCACAAAAGTATTTCAGATGGTCCCTTTTACAAGACGAAGCCCATTTCTCAGGGCTTATGTTCTATTCATGAAATAGGAGCCGGAGTAAGAAGTATTTTTAATTGAACTGGTGGCTTGCTTCGTGTGGTTTTTCTCCTCATTTACATAGAGCAAGCTTAGTGTGATGTGAAATACCTTATCACTTCTTTAGCATAAAGAATTTCCGATATAGATTATTTTCTGCACTTAATATATTCCCAAATGCACGTTCTCTGCTGCTTTTAGAATACGTGAGTGGCTTGACCACTTAACCCAAACTCCTCTGTAGAAAGAGGAGAGTCAAACTTGGATTTAATTTCCCCAGCTATCTGTAAGTGAGCCTGATGCAGTTTCAAGTTCAACCTGTGGGCTTTGTGCCAGGATAAATCTCTCGTTTGCTTTCAGTAGGTATTTCAAGAATGCCTTATTTCAGTCCTGCGTCGGGGAAGGCTGGAAGTCACAGCTGAAGGTAGAATTCGTGTGCCTCCGTAGTTCAGACTTGTTTGGGGTGAAGGAAAAGCTGATTTCCTTCTGGAGCAGCAGGGAGGAATATTCCAAACCTCCCCTTTTCTCATCCTGTCTGTATTAA